ACACACACACACACACACACATGCACACTGTTGGTCTGCTTGTAGTGAGCGTTTCAGGGACCCACAAGTGAAGGACGAGATGTCGATAAATCCTTGGGACAATTCTCTGCTAGTACCCAGGTTTTGTTCACGAGAGAGAGCAATATCAATACTTCAAAAATACTAAGACTGAAGCCGGCCAAAGCAGCAATACGCCATGTTGGATATCACTAGGATGCTCCCAAACGCCAGAGTCTGTAACACCAAACTCTCTGGAAATTGAGCTGCATACTTACCACCTATTCAGTGCACCTCTCTGATAACCTCTTTGATGATTTCCCAATTGGACGTTTACTTTCCTCTAGGCACTACTAGCCAATGCAAACGTCCGTTTATGATTGTGATAAATTAGTAAAACGCAAAAACATTAAATGAATGGAGCCAAGGATCACTGTGCCACAGGATTTCTGGAACAAGTGAACAGCGCTCTGATAGGGCCCACATTTGCATCTTTTCGTATTTCTTTTACTACAGCAACAGTGATCTTCTTACTTCCACAGAAGAGCAGCTGACCGTGAAATGCCTTTCGATAATCACGGCTTCGCCAGAACAAAATGTAATAAGTATTTCCATAATTTACTGCCATCAGCAAAGACATAAACGATGATACATCTCTCTGAAAACATAAAATCCATGAAAAACGTAGAACAGTAGCGAGCTAGGCAAAAATTCTGAGCGGCTCTCCGAATGGATTCGAGCAAAACGGGATCGGTCTTTTGACGTTTTCGAGAGAACATAGTGAAAAACTCATTGCTACAAAACGAAAATGAAAAAAAATGTAGCAAATGAATGCAGAAATAAAATCTAACAGTAGTTTCGTTTGAGAACGAGAAAAAGTTAGTGAGAAGAACCGGAAAGGAACTTGTGAGCACAGTCGCAGCATAGATAGCCATTAAGATGAGCATCGAATTGGTAATGTATATTCGTTGTGATGCACCGTTTTCTGCTACAAATCATTTACCGTTCATTGGTTTAACTCGTATTTTCAGCCAATAATAAATGG